ACTATGAAATTTTTTCGGGCTTTTCCACATCTTACCCCATGTAGAATCAATACTGTGAATATTGTCAGAAGGGTGATAGGCACTTTAACATTTTTAAATATATTTTTTATTGACACAGGTGTGGCTCTTTTGCTGAAAGCATTCAAGAAGTCCATCTTTTCCTTTCTGCTGGTGGAGGCAAGACAAAAATTCATCGTGATCCATACAGCACTATTCATTGTGTATTCAATGGCACCAAAGACTGGTTGATGATTGATAGAAGTCAGACAGACTTGCTTTACATGTCTGAGGACTCAAGATTTGAATTGGGAGGTTATTCATATATTGATGTGGATGCTGTTGACCTCATGAAGTATCCAAAAATAAAAGATGTTAGGTATTCTAAAGTTACAATGGAAGCAGGAGATTGCATATTTGTTCCTGGGGGTAAGTTGTCTCCTTGTTATAGCCTGGCTTTGTTGTAGTTTAGTTTACTACTTTAATTGCAAATACCAAAAAGCTGTAACTATAGGCTTCAGCCTCTACACAATTCTTGCACAGCTGTTCTGATGCTTTGTAAACTATATTTACAGGTCTATGGCATCAGGTCAGGTCTAGAGGATACATGAACACTGCAGTTTCAATATGGTTCTCGCGGATTTACCAATTCAGTGATAAGGGCTGTGATGAAGCTCAAATTGAATTCACTTTCATGAATGAGGTGCCAGTTCTGTGGCGGTTTTCTGGTCATGGCACATTAACACAAGGACACATGGATATCTATTTTATAAAGTGGTTACTGCTTACATCAAGTGATAAGGAAGGAAAAATCAACATCAAAGCATTCACTGATCATTACTTTGTGAGCAATCTTGAGGAAGAATCAAAGAAGGAGTTAATGGCTAATGATGTAACAACAAGGGCAAAAAAATTCTCCGAATACATTGACCCTCAAAATGTTGGGTATGTGTATATCTAAATACAGTTACTTTACCTTGAGTAAAAACAAGGTTTTAGATTCTTAGAATCAAAACTGTAACACTTGATTAAAATTTAATGATGTTTCATTCAATATTTTCTTCTTATTACAGGTTTATTACAAAAGAGGAAGTGGAGAATTTTTCAATTGATAAATTGAAAGAAATTGTTCTTTTCTTTGATCCATGCGACGTCAGCAACACTGAAGACTTCGAGTACAGCCATATTGATGCTGAACAGATCATGTAAGTTTGACCTGTTACCTAACCTTGCCTCCTCTCCTTGCCTCACCCCCAAGAAAAATTCTCACACACTCTCATTCTTAATACTCACAGAACTAACATTTTAGCATAAAGTTCCATCACATGGTATAAAATCAGTGAAACAGTAGCAACTGCTCTCGCAGTGCGTTATGTCATTTGCTGGGACTCTTTCTGATAGTGTCAAACCATCCTTTTTTAGGTACTTAATTTCACAGTGCAAGGATAGCAGTGGACATTTTGATAGCAGTAAATTTATCAAGAGTTATGTTGAGGTAATTAATGACTTGTTAGTTTCTTAAAATCCATTTATAAATATTTATCAAACTCATCAATAATTCATGAGGAAAACACAACAGAAATCACGACCGTGAAGAGTGTTGTAAATCTGATACAAAACTGTGTTCATGTGCATAAACTTTATGTTGGATTTTCTTGGCCAAATTGACTTTAATTTTGAAAATTTTAGTGAAACACAAAGGAACTAACCTAGACGTTTGATATTAGTCATATACAGTATTCGTGTTCGTGTTGTATCAGATATACAATCACTCGGCTACCCCTCGTGGTTGTATATCTGATACAACACGGCCACTCATACTGTATATATTACATAACAGCCATACCAACCATTCAGTGTCTACATGATTGGGTGTATTTGTGTCTTTGTTATCAGGAACTTGGTGGATCTCCAGCAAAGGCAAATAAGGTAAAAAGAAACCATAGAGATTTTTGACTTTTACACTTTACTTACTCTACCTTTAAAAGGACAAATGTAGAAGGGTGCATTGGACCATTGAATGAATAATCTAGTCCCCTTTTTTCATTTCCAAGAGGTTTTAGAATGGAAAATATGAGACCAGTATGCTAAAAGGAAAACAAGTGGAGGGGCAGGGACCGTGGAGCTGGGGGGCTCAGGGGGCTGCAGCCCCCACTTTTTGTGCCAAAAATATGAATATAAATAAAAAACGTTTCACCCCCTCCCCCCCTTTCAAATGCCAGCCCCCCTACTTTTTAATATGCTCTGCGGTCCCTGAGGGGGCCTATCTATAGTCCCTCCCCCTCCATGGTTTATAGGGCAAACATTTGACCATTAATTGTGTATTCCATCAATACATTTTCAATTTCATGTCATTGTGTTGTAGATTGTTGAAGACCTGGATCTAAATGAAGTAGCAACAATAAAAGAAGTTGAGAGGAAGGCTCCACAGGCTCTGAAAAAATACCTTAATTCTCATGTTCATGATCCATCATTTGAAAACAAGATGATCAAGCAATTGATGAAACATGAAGAATTATAGGAAAATTACATGATCTTTAGCAGTTTAGTAAAGAGTGGCTAATGATGCTATGGTAGAAGGTCGGAGGCTTGTTGTAACTTGGAAGGGCCTACTAATATCCCATATTTATAAGAATGATGACAATTCAGTACAAAGAGACTGCTTTGCTGAAATTGTCAATTGCAAAGTTGCATAAATAAAACAGGACTTCACTGCTACAATATAATATAGTCTACTTGGTGTTTTTTTCAGCATAGGTGGCAAGGGCAAATCCAGGGAAGGTGAATTGGGGAATTAGTCACTGAAATATAACAATTTTATTTCTGAGAAGAAAATATCCGTCAAAAAAACTCGTGTTGAAATCGAAATCATGTGAAAACCGAGTGACGTGAGAACCGCGTGACACGTTGTTATACTAAGCATTATGGGTAATGGGGATTACTTGCATTTGCACATGCCTACCCAGGATTCCGTAGGGTCTCAATTGGAAGGGAGTCAGCAGCATAAAGCGCTGACGTTACGAGAATATTATTACCTCATACCTCGTCGAAAATTCTTACACTTATTTAAAGGAGTTCAATGATAGATATCATTAAATGCTCATTCGTTAAGCCTTAGGATGATACTGTTCTTGGCTATTGTTTTTTGGGGGTTGCAGTTTTAAGATTGACGTCGCTGTTCTCGCTTGAAGACGAAGGAGATTCCCCTGGCAGGTACGACATCTATAACTAGCACTCGTTGTGTTCCTTAAATCTATTAAAAACGCAAAAATATTCGCAAAAATCCTGTGCTAAAATTATTATTTTAGTGTTTGTGTCTAATATCGAAAGATATCCAGTCTTTCGTGTTGTAGAAAGCTTGCCATCTTTGACTGAATGTGATCATGTCGTAGCTCGCTCCATCAACTATATATTCTACTTGAACTAAACTGCAGTTAAATTTGTGCTGTTTTAAGCTTATTGAACAGCATTTATATCACTACAGCAAATCATAAATAATTAAGACATTTTTTCCTTAAAATATTTGTAGTTTCTGTGTATTAAACTGCTTTAATAGTCGTTAATCGAATCTATACCGTATTTAACGAATGTGACTTGGTTTACCCTGTGACGAGCAACACAACACCCAACACTCGACTGAAACTGCGTTTTTCACTAATATGAGCTAAGCTAAACTGATAATGCTGGAATTTAATATATATTTGTTTAGGCATGAATTTCGCTTTGAGAAAAGAATAATCATATATTTTGGAAAAAGAGAAGACAATAATATAATATAATATTGTATATCAAAGAGTCAGAGACGGTGACAATAATATGTAGCTCGAAATACGTGTCGCCTACATCTTATACACTATCCAGAACAATATGTGAATCTCTTCTGCGAATACACAATTCTTTGGATGATATATTTATTTTATGCGAACCATATTTTATTGGTGAAAGGAGCTTAGAGGTATGTACGATACCTTGTTATGTAACTACGTGCATTTCTTCATACTGACTTCAGTATAAAATTACCTGTAAATTATAATATATGTAAATTTTTGGTGTAAGTAGCTTATTAAGGCCCCATTTACTTAACAGTCAACTTTCAGTATCGCTGGAGTGCAACCAATAAATCAAAATGTCTCAAGATATGAATAACAATGAAACAGCTACAATGTTGGTTGATTTAACAAGAGAAGCTAATGAGGGATGCTTTGTTATCGTCAACCAATTGCAACATGCATGAGGCTATGATGCCACTTGCACTCTAAGAATACTGCTTGAGAGGTGACAGGCACAAAATGATTATAGTCAAGGCTCCTGGGAAATAATATTATGTTATTTGAATTATTCTTTTGTTTCCTCAGAGCCTTTGTTGACTCAGATTGTTGTGTGCTTATGATCATTCAACAAGAATATTAGAAAGTAGACTATCATAAAGACCCCTGTATCAGTCTGAAACCTTTATTTCTTGATGAAATGACTATAATGCACATGCAACATGTTTTGCAATGTTACTGATATAGAGAGCTGCCCAGATAGGGAAAAACGTTGCCAGGGGTTTTGAAAATATGGACTGAGATGATGGTAGATCAATGTCCATTTTCAAGGATACAATTTTACCATATCTGGACAATAAAAAACTTTTTTTTATGTTCCCACTTCTTTTTGATCATGATTTTAATCATGTTTTGTTGTTTAGTGTGTCATCAGGCTGTTTCTCAGGACTGCTGTCTGAGTTACGAAATATCACCAGTTACCACAGTCAATCAGAATGTACAATTTCTTAAAATTACCCCCCCCCCCCCACAAAAAATTAATAATTTAATAATTAATTTAAATTATTAATTTATATTTTATTTCTTTTTAAATTAATAATTTATATTTTACTTTGCAGATTTTTTGCTAGCAGTACCAAAAGATGTCTCAAGATACTGCAGCTACCCCAGCATTGCCTCAGCTTATTGCTAATTCTAATATGCCATTTGGTATGGGATATTCATTTCCAGTTATCCATCAACCCATGGGGCAGTTTATTCCTATGAGTATGGTACCCTTTGATAGCAATACCATACAACATTACATGGAGTTTGCAACCAAAAGTGGCTTTCATCCTGCTATGATTGCACCAATGTTTGGACCTGCCACGTGCACTGTAACCCCACCAAACATGTTATTGAATCACAGTGGAGATAATGGCAACTCATCACCAGGAATAACTGATAATCAGACCCAAATTATGGATCAGGATTCCAGTAGTCTCGTATCTGGGCATGACATGATGACGACTACAAGTTCATCAAATATTCATTCCATAGGAAGTGACAAAACTCCACAACCACAAATGCCTTCCATGTTTTTTCTTCCATTTGCTCCAGCTGGTTTAACTGGATATTTTCCAAATTATCCAGCTTTCAATGTTATAACAGCTTCCACAAAGAATAATGAAATTTCCCAAGAAGGAGGTAACCCTCCACAAAAGTTAGCTGATGAACAAGATGTTTTGTTGCCTAGCAAGTCTGAAGAAAAAAATTCTGATGAGTTGGACGTGGCCAGGATTCTTATTGATATGCAAGTACCAGTAGTAAAGCAAGATGTACGATCTTCAGTGGCATTAACATCAGGATGCAATCAAGACTCAAATGAAGCAAGAAGCATATCCAATCAAAATGCAAGCTCTGAAGATGTTATAAGGTCACCTTTAGCTCCTACTGATATTTACCCCAGGACAATATGCCATAGTGGTTTTGATGGGCCTGTCACATCCTCACTATTTCAGAACTGCAGTGAGCAAATCCAGAATGATGAACAACTAGAAGAAACTACTTCAAATGATTATGTAATAAATGAACTTGATGTACAAACGAGTGAAAATATCAAGCTAAAAGATTCGTCAGATCCCAATGATCAAGTTAAACCTGAAGGATTGCAGTTAGAAAATGTAAGGTCGGAAGAACCAGGTGGTGTAAAATTGGAAGTTGTTAGTGAAGGTGAAAGCAATCAACCAGGACAGTCTATGGATATCACAGGTCATGAACAGCTACCAATGCCGGTATCAAATCATGTAAAAATAGTAGATATAGCATATGACTCATTAGAGCAGAAACCAGTTGAAACTTGCCAAGGCCAGAATCTATTGGAATTGAAAAGCATCAAAAGTGAAGTGATGGATGTCACTTCAGTTACAAATCCTGCTGCAAAATCAACAGTTGTTTCCAAAGAAAGTTCAAAATGTTTTACATCTGATGATTTTGTATCTTTGCCAGATTATCATGAACAAATCAATGCTGATCCTGAAGGCAAAGATGCTTTAAAGCATGCATCTCCAAAAGAAGGAAAAGATGAAGATGATTTAGAAAAAGATGTAAATTATGAAGCAACTGGTGAGGAATCTGTTACTGAAGAAAATGATGTACCTAAAAAGACTTATAAATGTGATGTTTGCTCTCAGCTGTTCAGAAGCCCTCTTGGGCTACAGAAACACATGGAGTTTCATATGGATGATGGTAAAAACTTCACTTGTACCATATGTTTCATGCATTTTTGTAATGACAATGCATTACAAGACCATCATGAAAAACACATGCGGAAACGACCTCACAAGTGTGAATTTTGTCCCAAAGCCTTTAGAGATCCTGGTTCACTTCAGAAGCATGTACGGGTTCACACAGGAGAGAAGCCATACAAATGTAAAGACTGTCCTAGGTCATTTGCAGAGTATAGTTCTTTACGAAAGCATCAAAGGGTCCACACAGGAGAACAGCCATACAAATGTCAGTATTGTTCAAAGGCATTCTCTATATCTGGTAATCTGCAGAGGCACATTTTGATTCATACAGGAGAGAGGCCCTACAAGTGTACTTTCTGCACAAAGGCGTTTAATAACCCTAGTCACTTGCGGAGACATGTTAAAAACCTCCACTTTAACAAAGGAGATGCTGCAATTGACGAGGCCATGCTGAGTCACTATGGAAACACAGCTGCTACAAAGAATGCTTACAATGAATCTCCTCCTGTAATCAAAGAAAACGAAGAAACAATGAAACAGGAAACCAAACATGTGAATAATATTGGACCTCAACTAGTCAATAATGATAGTCTTGAACCTGAATCAAGAAATGTAGTAATTCAAGCTTTATAGGGAACATCTTTTACTGAAACCATACAAGGATATCATCCACAGTAAGGCCTGCCATATAATAGCTATGAGGGTGCTTTTGCATTATAAAATTTAAAATTAAAAATTAAAATAAGCTTTACTGGTTTAAAGGGCAGTTCTTTGCGTTCGACCAGCTGTAAAGTAATGGGAGTAAAGTAGTGGGAAATACTGTCATGTCATGGAGCTGGTCTCTTCTAATTCAGAGGATATATTTTTTATCCCAGATTACCTTGCGACTTCTGAACATTTAATGAATGATGTTTTTGGCAGCTCATTCCTAACATGCAAAATTTAGATATAAAAATCCACCTATATTTATTAAAGCAAAATTCAAGATATGCTATTTATTTTGCTTTTGTATAGAAGGGGCTGAACCCAGGTGAATGAATGTTAATCGAAGTATTATGATCATCCAGGTGGATGTAGTCCTGAGAAGGCAGACTGTTTGATGTGACTGACATGTTGAAACGTCAGTCACATCATACAGTCCTTCCCAGGACTACATCCACCCGGATGATCATAATACTTCAATATTAACATTATTTTGCTTTTTTTAAAAAAATAAATCTATAATTTGAGATGTGCAAAATATATGTGAAGCAAGACCACAGGGGAGTAGTTTTACCGAGAGAAAACATTATAACAGAAAATATCTTTAAGGCCAGTGATCAGAGACTCTTGCAATCTTGCTCCATTCGCCTTAAAAGTGCTGGCTTAGTTTGCCTCATGTAGTATAGTAGCAAAAGGATATTAGTGCTGATTGAATCCTCAGTTGAACACCAGTGGCTCTTGATTCAATGCCACAAGTTACACCTTTTGCCTTTTCTTTTCAAACTCTTTGTTTCATTAGAAACATATTTCCCTAATGATCAAGAGCAATGATCAAGAAAATGTCTGAAATTTAAAAAGAATTGTACACACTTACCAGAAGGGACAACTATTTGAAATATGTTGTTGATACCATATTATAGGTATCGGGTTTTGCTGTTAGCACCGATCTGTAGTGACAGTTTGCACAGTAATTGTATAGTATAGTATAGAGGCTTTGCACCATCATGTGATGGCAGCCATGACAGGAGGCAGGAACAATTAAATCTGGTTTAATCTGATACTGCCCTATATTTGCTATAYGGGTACATGCCGCCAAACAGGGTATGGTTTTCAGCGATTCTACTCTGGAACAGGGTATATAAAATCACGCTCGCTCTGGGACAGGGTATATGAAATCACGCTCTCTCCTCTGAAACAGGGTATCTATTTTCGCACTACCGGAAAAGGGTATGGTTTTCAGAAATCTTGCTCTGGAACAGGGTATGAATTTCAGCTATTTTACTCTGGAACGGGGTCAGGGTTCGGAGGGCTCAGCAGCACATCCCTACCCTAAATGGGCAAGAGTACCCCCTGGTTGCCTCCTGTCATGGCTGGCTGCATAGCCTCTATTACCAGTAGCTAGGTCAAGATTACATTTTGATGTGTCAGACAAAAACCTATTAAGGTGTTTAATAAATTATTGTAATTTCACCTACAAAAAGCATTTTGAGGAATTTTAGCATATTATCTGACTTACTCAAACTAATAAAGTGGCTTTCTTTAATACAATATAGTCTTAGTCTGTGTTCTTTTTTGTTCTCCCTTCTATTCCTGCTTTCCTTCTCTTAGTTTTATTCACATACCTAGTTCTTACTTGTTAGTTTCTCAATTTTATTCTTTTTAGTTAACATTATTATTACCATGTATTATGTATGTGATCACTGCAGTAGATCACTGCAATTTTCTCTGCAACTTGTCTCACAACAGCATTGCAACACAAGTTGCATGAGTGTTTACACAGTACAATGGATACACAAACAATTGCTGCAGCTTGTCTGTCAAATTTTGCTTTAGGTTACTCCGCAATGCTGCAGCTTGTGTTGCTATGCTGTTCCACAAAAATATGATGTGATTCTATCACATAGAAAAATGTAGACTTTCATATAAATTTATGCAACCAGTGACAGTCAAATAAATTAAAACGTAAATTATTATGTAATTATGAATCTGAGGCACAAGATCACTAGCTAAAAACTAGTGTGAGCTGCGTCGGTGTTTCTAATGAAGCAGTAAAATGATGAAAAGGTAAATTATACACCGTGAAAAGATGAAAAAACTTACTGACATGTCGTCACTCTTATATGACAGTATGATATTTATACTGAGAGAAAATTAAAAATAGAAAGAAAGAAATTGAATTAATTAATAAGACAATCAATCAGTCAACCAGCAAAATAAGTTGACTAAGATTGATTTTTGATGTATATTTTGTAAATCATAATATATAGGAGTTTATCTGGATATTTATCTTTAAGGCAAGCATATTGAAGAGAAGGAAATGACCAAAAAAAAATTAAATGCAGTCACATGAAGAATTAATATTATCATTTTGTAGTGCTAAATGAAGCTACTCTAACTATAGTTCTATTTCTCTATGTCCAATGCAATTTATTACAGACAATAATTTAAAACCTAGGTCCCAGACATATCGTCCAGAGTTAGACTAAGTAAGATAATCACCCATAAGTTATCTAAGCTTATTTGGAAAATCTAAGTCTATTAGTCAAGCTAAATTGATTGCTATGGACTTTTACATTTTCCCTGATGATAGCCACTTTTGAACAAAATTGACAATTGTAATATATAATAATTTTGACAAAATCAGGTTTACTTCCTTGTCATTTATACCTCAATTCTAGATGTTTATATATATAGATATTTTCAAGAATCTATAGTTGCTACTCTATATATGTTGACATTTGTTTTGACTTCATTTCTATATACAAATAGGAAAAACAACATTCAACTAAGAAAGTATTGAAAACACATTTCACTGGGGTGATAATGATCAACATTACGTTTTATGCACCCCACATCGCTTGTTTTCATGAAATCAAATAATTTATTACTGTGGCCAGTACAGAAGGTAGTTCTTTAGAGAAGATGGAAGTGGAAGAGCATAAACTCTATTAGCAGGAACAAACTGCAATATGGCAGTTCTGCACATGTGTTGCAAGTCAAACCTCATTGGCATTTGCCACACCCGTACTACACTATCATTGTATCCTGCAGCCAAGTACTGACATGACTTTGAAAATGATATACAATGAATTATTGCACTCTGGACCATGCCGTCAGTAGGAGCTGATACAGCCTTACAATCTAATACCATGATTTGTGTTAAGGTATCTGGATGAAGCAACAGAACTTTGGCTTCTGAAGTGCCAATGGCCAGATACATGCCATCTGGGGAGTACTGACAAGAGTACAGCCTTGATGTTGATGTAACTCGCTGTTGTTTATGACAAGTATAGGACACACATGAGTCATTATAGCCAGAAGATGGGTGGGGCAGTGTCATTTGGTCACGATGCCACAGTTCAATTCTTCCGTCTTGTAAACAACAAGCCAAAACCTGATTTTTGTATCTAGGGTCAAACACACACCAGCATTTATTTCCGCGACATCTCTTCCTCAAAACACATACTTTTTCGAGAGTCTTACTGTTTAAAACGCAAAGCTGCTCCTGTGAGGTCGAGAAAGCAATTAAAGTTCCATCAGGCGAAAAATTACAGCTAGTTACAAAACCACAGAAGTCTGAAAGATCCCGCAGAACCACACTTTTAACCAGATTCATGGATTTGACGCTCCATACTCGTAATTCGTTGGTTTCTCGAATTGTATGAAAGTCAACACAAGCTGCACTTAAAAGGGCAGAAGAATCGGGAGCAAACTTACAGATCATAGTTTGACCGGTAAATCCGTTGCATTCCGGATGAAATTTCGCGAGCTTTTCTGAAACCCCACTCGGTGAAGTTCTATTTCGTTTCAGTTGCGCTACTTCTCCTTTGGAAGCATTCATGACAAACGCAATCAGGTCCCCATCCGTTGAAATATCACATTCTTGGGAATAATAAGTGATGATTTCTTTCTTAGGTCTCTGCTGGGGGACATCAAATATCCGAAAATGCCCCAAACCTTCCTCAAGCCTGACATTCGGTCCAAAATTAGGGTTCGATGTTGTCAAAATTGTACATTCGTCGTCTGGGGCGAAAACACAGCATCGTATTTCTTCTCCATATTCCACTCTGTCTTGATCAAATACACCGTTTCTTCTGTGATGTAACTGAGACACGATTCTTGCACTGTTTGATAAATAACCCCATTTGCTCGAGGGAAATCTCAGGTGACGTAAGGGCCGTGAAGGAAGATTTGCAGTTGTTGTTTTGTTCAATTCCCAACAAGGCTTTTTTTTCGAAGATTTTCCCACCTTATTTCCCATTTCTAGCTTCGAAATGTCCTATACACGCGGACATTGAGCTTATCTCGTTATGTGAGCGGCGATATGCGATTATTTGACCGGATTTTGTAGAAGAACTCAGTCTGAGAAGAATTTTCACGAACGATCTAAACAAACAAAATGGCGTCTACGCTCATGTGCTTAACCGCTGACAGATGTCAGGTGTTTTCAATAAACAAAATCAAATGAATGAATGGTTTTAAACCACGCTTAGGTCCTATTTTAACGCTTATAGTTTAAGATGCTTGTTTTAATCTAGTTTTAAAACCCTATCTGCAATAACATAATAAGAATATGGTGTTAATTTCTTGATAATTTACATATATAATTGGATGAACCCCGAAACCAGAAAATAATAGAATTAGCATAAAATAGTGCAAGTTAGTATTCTAATATTTCACAGATATATTGTTTGCACTCTATTAATATTAAATTGTTTAGAGAATGAAGCTTGTGGATTACAAGATATAGAACATTGTAAGTTTTTATTTATTGGGTTTCATGGTTGTCTTATTTTTAACAGTTTCAACATGTAAATTTTAATTGAATCCTTAACTACACCAAAAATATCTATTAAGCTTGAAATTCAAACCTCAAAAATGCATTAAGATATATCATCACAATTGGTATTATATTATAGAATAGGGAAACTGGAAATAGCCCCATCAAAAAAATAATAGGCTTATAAACCTAATAGTCAGGTTGTTAACAGATTTTACTAAGTGTTATATAGCTTTTCAGGTTACCATTTTTTTAATTCCTTGATCTTCTTTTAACATGAAGAAAACCCAAACACAAAATCTATTTCCAAGGGAATAGAGTACAAACAATAAAAGTGTGTAACACTTTGCACTATTTAGTAGTAAATAGTGCTAATTAAACAATAGGAAACAATAGGATTAGCATAATTTAGCAGTATTTATGTTACACACTTATAGTGTTTGTACTCTAACACATAGTAAAATAAATTAAGGTCCATAAATGCAAGTATATACAGCCATGAAATCAATACAAATGTTATGTCCAAAAAGGAAAGAGAAAAAACCCCTCTATCATGGGTGTGATGCTTTCCCATTTCAAACCATATGTCATTTCCTAGAGTATCAATCATTATTATGTTAGCAGTTGTGCATGAGAAGACACATTATTATGGATACAACTCAAACAAAGAAACATAAAGAGATCTATTCAATTTAAAAACTAGGTTATATTTCATATTTTAATTTATCAAAGACTTTCATCTAAAGTCATTTTTCAGGATCTGTCTCATTGCAGTTAGTGGATGATGATAAATGAGTTCTTTTTTCTAGACTCGTGAGTAGAGAATTCTTCCATTTATCTTCAGGTATAACGTTAGCCCATTCAGGTATGGAAGAAGGTGGTAAGGCTATCTTAGACATGACTTGTTGGATGAGATTCACTTTATCTGTGGATACAAATCATTAAAAGAAATTGATATTTATCAATTGCCAAGAAGTAAAGTGTAGAGTTATATATTGGTAGTAGTTTGAAAAGAATTAAACATTATGTTGAAAATATGCATTTCATTTTGAAATTATCAGGTGGAATATATAATATAATATAATATAATAAATATATAAAATATAATATATTAAAGAGCTATGTGATGCAACTTTATAAAAAGTTTATGTACAGCTTTTAAGGTAATTTCCTTGTTTTGCACTGCGCCTTTTTCTGCGCATGCAACTAAAAGCATGGAACTAATAAAGCTTAGGCATTTTTYTTTCGGAAATTAAATAAGAAGCATGTTCAAAACCAATTTTTGCTTTTCTCTTTTTTGAGTTGAGAAATTGCGATTTTTATCTGACTCGCCCCAGTCTCCACTCGAAAGCGTCAGTTTTCAACTATTAAGAGATGTTTTTTCAAGAGAAATCAAAAACGAGACATTCTTATTTCAGATTTTTGATAAATGCAATGCTCGTCATTATATATCAAAATATGAAGGAAAGTTTATTGGATAGATTTTGAAATATTTTGATGTGAATAGTTGACATGTGCAATTTTTGGATGTTTGTAGAGGTGCACATACCTGCATTTTTCACTAATAGTTCAAGAATCATAGTCATCCAATAACTTTGATGGATTTAATAGTATAGATTATCTAGTAAACTTTGAGTTATAAGTACGTTTGGTTAATAATATAAAAGTACTTTTAACTGTGAATAAAGGTTCTTGATTACAGCTTCCAATTGCTACCTCATATCACTATAACATCTATAAATTAACATATTTGGAGAGGATCTAGCGAAAAAACAAGAATGGTGACCCCATCTACTTTGTTCTTTTGGTCTTATAATAGTCTTCCTTAAACAACAGCAAGCTCCAATTTATATCATTGTCAATTAAGGAATATTATTAGGTATTGTGGTCACATATAATTCATAGATTTTGTGGTAAACAAATCAGGTGGAAGGTTGAATGATTCCTATGTTATAAAAATATTGGCAATTCTCTAGGTGAGTGAATATTGCACTGTCTTTAGGCTATGTTCAGCAGGTCTTTCAAAAAGGGAGTGTTCTGTCTGGAGTCATAGCCGGGACAGGTGCACTGATACACTACATTAGACTCGTTACTACCATCACCATAAGCTTGATATCAACCAATAATCCTTCATTTCTATTCTACCCTTGCAACACCAGTTATCATGTAAATTTTATTACTCACAAAGCTACTTTGATGCTTATCACAAAAACCTAGCATTATTATTTCAGTCTTAACAAAGATGAGTGCAAAATGGGACCCTTTCCTTGTGCTTTTTCAGGTGCCTTGCCCAAAAGAAGCAGAATTGCTCAGGTGACTCACTCTTGTGAAAGACTACATTTTGGTGGTTTTTTTCATTAGCCTAAGTTCATACAATAATATTGCAATCGAATCTTATCTGATAACCAGTTTTGAAGACTCATAGCTTTAAGGTTCATGAAAATATACATAACAAACTTGAAAAGCCCTATTCTCCAGAGGAAAGCTACAGGCAAAGCAATCAAAGTCCGCTTTTGTAGATCTTTGTAAACTCTGGGTTAACCCTAAACCCTTACCCTAACACTAACTGTAATGGCATTCAAGATAATTCTTTGGACTTAAAATTTGCAAAAAAAATGAAAAAAATAAACCCAAAATCTGTCAGTCCTATTGAACAAAAAGTCAAATGACATTTCTAAACAAATTTTTATGGAATATCCCTGCGCTCATTGACAATGTAAGCTAAGTAAAGAATTTTTGAGACGCGTTGGCAAGGTCAAGATATGATGCACATTTAATATGCATAAGGAAAACACTCTCGTTGGCAGGAGGAACAAACCCAATTTCTAAAGAGTGCAAGTACTGTAGAATTTAGAGCAGCGTATCCAGGAGTTTGCCATGTGGCAGTTCAATCCACAAGACTTCCAGTTTACAGTTATTGTTTATGGTAGCTCCCTGATGTTTGCAATAAAAACAGCCTTATGGATTCTTATGCCTCAATCCACTTTTAAAAATAATATAAATAATTCTCCTGATTTAATAGTCCACTGCAAAAGTGGCTAGAAACATTCTAAGAATGATAATATTAGGTGGACAGTCATCAATTTGAACATGTTTTCATAAGTGGTAATACTAACCATTATCCATTGGGAGTTCTTCATTAGCATCATTATGCTGGCTGTCAGAAAGTCGAGAAGCTGCCTGATTACCATGAATTTCATGTATTTGTGCTTCTTGATTTTCATGACTTTCCGAAGCAGTACTATCCTCCTAAAACAAACCAAAATGTGCAAAAATTAGTTTTTTCTACCAACCAAGCGGTCTAAGTTCATTTTTTTGTACTTTGATTAGGCATCACATGAAATGAACAAGTTTCTCTGTTTCCCTGGCAGTGGCTCTTGGCAAGCAAAAATATGTTGACTGCTAATAACAATACTGGAAGTGATTCCCTGGAAATGAAAGTTTTAAGAAATCAAATACTCAAAAAATTGTTTTGTGTTTGTATATATGTAGCAAAACACTTATTGACTGGAACCTTGGGAAAGCAGTGCGTTTTGTGTTCCTTTAAGGACAATGTTTCCATTGGCTTTGCCTCAGGAATCATTGCCATCTCGTGACCACAAAACACATTGTTGTCCTTGGTCTCAGTCAATAAGGTAGTGTTAACTATATATATGCTAAGTAAAACTTGATGGAAAAACGAAGCTCAACAAAATATCATGAYATCTTGTCATGACATATTTTTCAAGGACATTTTAAAATATTCAACTATGCAGAGACCATTAGGAATGTCCAGCACTTAAGTTCCATCAAACCAATATATGTGTACACACCAAAAGTTGTAGCCAATAGACAAACAGACAGGTTTTGACAGCATGAATAATGTCAGAAGCCATCTGGGCGTTAGTTAAGACATATTGGAGTGGCTGAGCATCCAAAAGCTCTACTTAAAGTAATGGTTAGAAGAAACTACCAAGTAACTTTTGAATCCAACACATCAAACCTCAAAATTCCCAAAAATGTTCGTATAAGTCTTTAATACATGTATCAACATTGAACGTGTATAATTTTTCGTTAGCTTTAACATCATGGTTTGCGTTTTCTTACCTTCAATTCTTGTAAAAAAGCTTCGGATGTTTCACTAGCATCGTTCATTGAAAGAGGAATGTAACCCTGAGGTGAAGCGTCTAACTGTTGTTCTTCTTCATCATCTTCCCCACTGCTGCTCGATTCTTGTACAATATTACCATAAACTGGTTCTTCTTCTTCCTCTGATTCTCTCCTGTCCTGTGGAACATCTTTTGGAGAAATCTGAGGTGTCATTTTTATGTTTTCTTGATGTAATATCAGTCATTCAAGTAGGATTTTTAGCGATGAAAAAAACCCCAAACACAAAAAAGTTCATCTTTCTGTCTCTTTCATACTGGGCGACTGCGAACAGTGGGTTCAGCGGTAGACTAAACACAGGTAACCCAGAAAGGAAACATGAATCAATGAGGTTACATTCCAACCACTGCTTAAAAYATTTGTTTCGCGTTCATTAAGAGAAGAGGGAAAGGAAGGGAAGATAAAAAGGAAGAAAAAGAAAAGAACAAAAAATGATGATGATAATAATAAACTTACTTTATTAATGATAACTAGAGTACAAGCAATTAGGGACCGGTCATTTATGCAAACATTTTTGGGGGTTCATGCGTTTTTAGTCAACTATTTCAGGTTTGATATAGTGTATAAAGCTATTTAGTTTACATTTTTATGACAAATTTAAAGAATAGAATCTTGGAAATAATAATAATAAACTCTTTATTTAAAGAGGGTAGCACGGAATAGTTACAAAATAACTAATAAACTGGTGGCCCACTAAATAAGATTCTTTGGAAATGAATCTGAGAATAGTATGGAAAACACAGGGCCCAGTTGTTCAAAGCCCGATTAGTGCTAATCCTGGGTTAACTCTTAATAAGACCTATACAGTTAATCCTGGATTAGCGCTAATCCAGCTTTGAACAACCTGGCCCAGGTATTCGGACCCGGCCAAGCAAGGGGAGAGGAAAGGGGAAAGGGTTTTCTTGGTGGGTAAAATGTTAAGGAGTGCATAAGAGTGTTTATAGAGCATGAGGGTATGGATGGGAATGAGTTCTTATGAGTATTGTAGATTGGAAGAGATATAGGAAAATATGAAATTTGTAAGGATTAATTTGAAGGTAACGCAGGGAATAGGGGAAATATGCTGCATATGACCATGGCACGAGTGGAGCGGGCAGTGTTGATATGTATCGAAAAATAATTTGCTTGTAAGTTTGTGTGATGAGCTCATGTGTAGGTAGAACCGAAAGTGTATGGATGTTAGACTTTGCGCCCTATCTTGGACCTATCGTCAGGGGTGAAGATGCAAGATAGCGAAGGAAATCGATGTGTTTCAAGACTCTTAGGCCCAGGTTGGGTCTGAGTTGGGGGTGGGTCATGTTATTTTATGTTCTCATTCTTGCTGGGGCCASGTTACTTTATGCATTCGAAAGAACAGGGCCACAAGAAAATATGCCATGGGAAATGAAAATGCACCAGCCCACCCTCCCTCTAATTAATGACCGGTCCCTAATAATCCGTGAAACACTAATTACTAAATAGTGCTAATTAAACAATAGAAAACAATAAATAAATATAATAAATATAATTTAATAAATTTTCATGGTTATATTGTTTGCACTCTAGTAATGTGAGTAAACTAATTGGGGACACTTGTCTAAATATARAAATAAATAAAAAATGTGTCACTCTTACAATGTTTAGTGATATGGTTTACTGGATTTACTAATTTGTGCAATTTCTTACAAAGTTTTTCATTGACATATGGTATGCACTAATGACTGGCAAATCCTGGGGGTGGGGTTCTTACATTTGAAGGGGTTAAAATGAAAATGGCCTAAGTGATTTTTTGGGGTATTTTTCAATAATTGCCTAAACCAAACAAAAATACCATCAAACAGCCTCTTTTAGTCTAAATATGAATGTTCAGTATTTATTTTTCGTAATTTTGGTTAGGAAAGGAGAAAAACACTCCTTGGTTACGCATTGGCTTTGCTTGACAACCRCTCATCCATCCGTTTGCTATACAGGTATGTGCCACTGGATAGGATATTGGCTCTCCTCTTTACAAAAATTTAATGGTACACATTTTCCTGGAAATTGTCTTAAACATGATCTACGATTTTGACACAAGATTATAAGTTTCATGTTTTTGTGTGTCTTGGATAGGGTACTATTCTATTTAACAAACTTTACTTTATTCATGGGAGTTTGATTCAGCCAACGAAGCACCTCATTATTTGGTCTTAAAATTTTTTATCAGATCCTCGACGACTTCTTTATTAAACTCCTATAACATTGGGCGAGATACAAGCATACATTATGAAGGGTATACAATTTCTTGTATGTCTTAAATAGGGAAAGGATTTTTCATTCTGAAGTGTTGTAAATAGGGTCAGGGTTTTATACCTCTGGTGGCACATCCCTATCCAAATGGGTGTCGAGTAGTCCCCTCTCCCTTGCACAGGCCTGTTTGATGTCCAAAAGGGAAAGGTTTGAAGTTTCAGTTAAAAATAAAATGAATAAAGACTGTTCACGTAAGCAAATACACAGCTAGATACACTAACTTTTATCCGATTTTATTTTCCTTAAACCTTGGGAAAGTTTTAAGTTACTAGGTCCATAATATATAACATTAGAATAGATTTAAAATGAATTTCTCCCACATTAAGAGCACATAACATATTATACCATATAGACTGAGAAATATTGGTAAAGGAGAGAGAATGCTGATAAATTTTGAACTATTGAGCAAAATTTCTAATTAGACTTAAAAAGCTCCAGTCATGCAGGCTTTTAATTAGCCTCACTTCAGCTTCTGAGATTGGACAACAAAAACTGACATCAAAATAATAAAATAAGCATGAGCTCCTGGATTCAAGGCTAAGCCTGCATACACTGGAGTTTTAAAAGTCGTCAATAGAACAGAAAAAAATAGTATGGTAAATTTCATTGTACGATAAAATATCAATAATAATATATTATTTATAAAATAAAAAAATTCTGTTCTTGAAGTGCACACTGTACTGCTGATGAAGTCATTATTTTCAAAAAATCCCATAATATTTTCATAATAAAAAACACTCAGTGACTGATATGAGTGGATGAACAATATGCCCATCTCCCTATTACCCATGAGCTGCAACCTTTATATCTTGGTGGGAGGTTTAAGTGCCTTGAATAAGCCTAAAGCTATACTTGCAGGGGCAAAAGGTCCCTGGAGGGTTCAACATGTACTGCTTAATACACTAAAACTATGGTGGAAATAAATACAATATATATTATATCTATAATATAAATATAGCATGGGTTTCCTCTGACACAATGGATAATTAAGGATCTGTGAAATTGAAGCTTTTGCAGTAGAGCTAGTGAATAACTCTAAGAAAATTTGTTTGAGAGATGACAAATGATAGAATTAAAGTTTATAGTGATATATTGTAAACTGTATAATCATGCATGCAACAAGTAAAGCAATAGGAAATCTTTGTTTATTCTGTTCAAATAAACAACTTTTCTTAGAATTATTAACACAATACAGATCCTAACTCAAAATGATTCATTATCTATTCTCTTTCAAAAAATATTATCAAAATGAATAGGAATAACCTATTAAATATTTCCTGTAATATTTGTCACATAGAAAAAACATTTCAATCTGTTTTAATATTAGAGCTTTCCCACTCATTCTAGATCTAATAAAATTATATCATATAATGTATCATGTTTTCCATTTCTTCAGCACTAGCGCTACTTAATGCAAAAGAACAATACTCTGAATTCTCTGAATAAGAACCATCATTCTCTTTTACAAAACAACTCTAATAATCATTAGTGGGGAAAAGAAAGATGGCATAAGTTTCAACTACTGGTGGCTGGTACAGTACTGAAAGTGAAACTAGTTGAGGGTTACAACTTTGACCAAGGGAATATAGTATATGTCATAATACCACTAACAATTATTAGTCAAGTAATCCTCATACAAGTCTCATTTTTTCACAGTCTTACATTTATGATATATTAATGTTTATATTTGTTATTCATGTAAATAAACTGCAACACACTGCAAGGTAACCCCCACCTGTGTTGCCATGTATCACAAGTAATGATCTTATTCTTTATTTGTTTCTTATGATTTTCCAGCTATACATTGAATATGATTGGTTGAATTGTTTTGCATTCTTTACGATATAGCTGAGAAAGGAATATATTAATTGGAAATTAAACCATTTGGAAGCTACTTTAAAGATACCTATTCACCTAGCAACATATGCAAACAATAAAAAAAAACTTTTGAATGCACTCATTATCCAAAATGAGCAAATATATAATAGACTATAGTCGAGAATACTAAATCGAGAATAAAAATCAAAAAGTAGGATGTGCACTAGTGAATGCCAATCATGAAAAAAAAAGGAATCCAATGGTCATACATAAATTTTATGAGATTTCATTTTCTTCCATTGTTCTTCTATGGTCAACTTAAACTATCCTTAAAATACAAACAAAATTGTGTTTTGTAGAGTAAAGAATCAAGACATATACAAAGACCTACATTTCTGGTAGCCATTTCAACATCAACCTCCTTCAAGCTGGGTCAGCTTTCAATTTCAATATTAACTGGAACTTACATAGAATTAAACTTAGTTTTATTGCAATAATCAATCTTCTCAGGGGCAGATTCAGGGGTGGTAAAACCCTTTTGCTCAAAATGTTTTCAGTATATCATTAGTTTCAGTCACCTCCCTCCTTTTTCTCAAATTTCTGGTAAAACCTTTGTAATAGTCACAACAATTTTAAAATCACTGGATTCAACCCTGCTTCCTTTCCTACAAATGCAATTCTAGACAACCGAAATAAAATCTAAAGATAAACATAAATATTTATGTCCTACTTATTTAAGAAGAATATGGCTTTTTATACATTTAGCCTATGGCATGAATACCTTCCCACAACATAGGTGAGATGCACTTTGACTTCTGAGCTGTTTCTTTCAGGCAGTTTATGACCTCAATGTTGGCATCAATGAAGCTCTTGGACTGATAGGGTAAGCCATGCTTCTTGCATAGAGCCTTCATCTGCATCTGTATGCCACGGAGCTTTTCACGAGCAACACGTGGAAAAAGGTGGTGCTCAAACTGGAATTGTAGCCCACCATGGAAGAAATCAAAAYGGGGGTCACACTCAATGTCCATGGTGGTATTCATCTGGGACAGTAGAAACTTGTCAGTTTGAAAAGCTTCTTGTGGAATACCATGATGTGTTTCCATGGAGAAGTGGCTTAGGGTTATTTGAATGTGAATAATCCCAGCCAAGAAGTGGGCCAGCAAAATGAACACTATTCTGGTTGGCCATGTTGGAAGGTGTGAGCATAAATACAGGTACCAGCTCCAAAATAGGCACATTGTAAGCAGCTCCAAGAACCTGTACTTCACTTTCTCTTTTGAGAGTGCCAATAGAAAGCTTTGCAGATACAAGTTGAATCTTGCTAAGCCCATGATGAGGAAGTACAAATAATGTTGGTACCTGACAAAAATCTTGGCTATACCATCGAAGGCCATTACTCTTTCATGGTAGTATGAATAGATAGACTTAAAAAATTTATCAGAGATAGCTAGAACTGGAAGATGTTGAATGTCTGGGTCAAATTCAATGGAGTTGGTTACAATGTGGTGGGCATTGTGACTTCTTTGCCACCATCCAATGCTCACACCCGTCATAAGATTACCAACAAAAAGCCCAATCCAGTCATCCCACTTGGAGTTATGGGTGATAGCATGGTGTCCAGTGTCATGTCCAATGAATGCCATTTGCTGCCAGAAGACTGCAAGCAGAACAGCTCCAAAAATTTGAAACATTACATTGTTAGAGAAKATGACACAGTAGATAATGGCAGCAAAGACCAAGGCCAACATCGACACTATCTTTGCATAGAAGCAATCTGTTGGAAAAAAACAGGTCAAGTATGAACACAACAATTGAATTCAAGGCGATGCGAAGGCTTTAAGATGTAGACTTTTACACAATAAATAGCCATCAAATATACATGGCATAACAAATGAATTTCTTTCGTACTCAGACGCAAGCCTACTCAGTAGATCTACGGCCATAATCAATATATTTTTTTACATTTTTTTCAAATTTAAGACTTATAAAAAATCCAATAACCATCGTAGCTAGAAAAATCTTATGAACTGAAGTAAAATTCATAAAAGGATATACATGGGAAATATATCGTAGGGAAAATAATATATAAGGAAGATAGTGGCGGGGCCGGCCGGCTACTCCAACAAAAAAATTCTTAGCTTTAAAAAATGGTTTCCAACCTCGAAACATATATATTTCTAAAAACTGCAGAACAATTACCATCAATAATCTAGAATTGCAAATTTTATAATTTTTGGCAGGATTGTGCAAGCAAGATGAAGCGGTGAAATGACAACAAAGACGACATGTCAGTTTCTTTAGCGAAATGTATGACAAGGGTGTTAACTTCAGATTTTTGTAAGATTTAAGATTTAGATTCCATTTTTAATTTCGATGGAGAAGAAGAAGTGCATGTCAGGCCAAGATATATCACCATATTGAATAATAAATCCCTGATTGAAACCATTTTGCACGCAAATATTTTTGCTTTGGTTCGACAGCAAACCGAAATTCAAAAACCTAATATATTCAAAGCATTGTTAAACAGGTTCTCATGATGTAAAATAGATTACTTTAAATGAGAATTTCTAGGTGRGGAAAATAAGCGAAGAAATAAGAGTTTGCCGACAACCATGACAAAGAAACAGTAGCCGGTCGGCTTTTACTTACAGTTAGTAACGAGGCCGCCATCTTCAATAATTTTCTTCCTCATTTCTTCAAAATCTTCGCTAAGCTTGGTTTTCTTGATTTCGTCGCTTTCTCCCTTTACTCTACCGATTCTAAACGCTGGAAGCTTCTTCTCCGCTACCCAGTCAGGGTGAAAAGCCTTGAAGACATCTGTGCAGTCATGGCCTGCCATATAACGAATGGGYAACTCTCCGCCAGGATGGAACTGAATCCATTTTGAAAGGTTGTACACTTGGCCACTAATAATCACCCAGCAATCATCCTTTGTACAATGTTTCTTTACTTCCTCGCTAGTGTATAGCTTAGAATTTTGCCTTTCCCGGACCGCCATGTTCGGTGTGATATGGACTGCAATGTGGTGGTGTGTCACGGTCCGCTTGCTTCAATCTCAGGGAAAAATCTCTCAGATGAGCGCGAACCATGCAAAGTCCACTTACTCGTACTACTTTGCTATAATCATCCTATCGAAAAAACGCCATCYGATTGGTGGAAACAAATCGGAATAAATCAATGCGCACGTGCACGTGTTCATTGCACAACAGGCAAGGAGACAATAGACACAATACTTATAATATCTTACATCCTGTTAGTTATTGTCACTGCTCTAACTAATTCAGCTATTAAAATAAAGCACGTTTTCTATTATACATTTACCTGGGGGAGGGGGATGGGAGGAGGAAGAGGCTGTTTACCTCGAAGGGGGAAAAGGAAGTGGGATTTTTGGGTGAGGATATCATTAAAAACTAGACTCAAAAGAATTTCAGGCAAATGGTAGGTCAATAAAAATAACTAGCACTTTTGTATTTAATCTGGCAAACAATGGAAAGGCATTTTTAATTCAACAATGGTAGAGTGCACACACTATAAACCTGTGAATAATATCTAGTACTAATTAGTAGTATTCATACAGAATCCTTTGTTTCCTATTGTTTGATTATTACTATTTAGTACTAAATATTAGTATTTGTTTCACGGGTTTAGTGCAAGCACTCTAAAGAGGGAAAAGATTTCTTATATTGATGGGTTGCAAGCATTCCCAAGAGTGAAAAGCAAAAATCATGGAGGCTGTTGTAGTGCCGTTAACAATATGGATGCTAATGAGAAATCTTTTGTTAAATGGCACCAACCTGGCCAATATGCAATAGAAAAATGGGTAACAAGAGAATCTGTTTGTTATGGCTAATACAATAATAACAAAAACCAGCAAATATTAGTACTTTTTTTTTTTCTGGGGAAAATCAGGGGGATACCCCACTCCCAGCCTCTGTGGGTGCTACGTCCCACGCTTCTTGGACACTTAGATGCATGAAAATAGACTACAGGAGGCCCAGTTTTTACTCAGTAATTTGAGATGCCAGATTTTCACTCCCATAAATCTTAAGGAAAATTTACCATAATTATTAAAATAATGATGTGCTTTAGATGAGTGCTTAAAATAATTTTACATGCACAATAAAAAGTAATAAAAGAAAATGTTTATCTTACCCTGTTTGTTTTTGGTGGACAAGGAAATCATTTTTTTCCTTGGTTTTCATTAGCCTGAGTATCAGGGGATAGGTTTCGTTCATGCTTTTAGCTGTCCTCCAAAACCTTCCAAAAGACATTTTAAAATTTAAAAAAGCCTGAATATATACTCAAATACCATAAGCTATTAAGCACAGAACTCCAAAAATTAGAATTTCTAGAGGCAACCAAACTTACCTGTTTCACTGGTTTCGTTTCACTGCTGCATTGTGAGGTCAATGGGAGACAGAAGGTAAGACCATTCTGTTGGTCTTTTTCCAAGAGGGGGATTCATTCTTGATCTTTATAAAGCAATATGATATATTTTCAAGCCACTAAAACTAATTTAACTCTGAGGACAAAATAAGTTTAAAAACCTTTTAATAATACAGTATTGTTAACTACRTAAATTATTTTCTTTGGTAATTGCTATTCTTTATCTTAGAATTTATAACAAAATGCCTCTTAAAAAGTCCAATCAAAGAAACCTATCAAACCAGAATCATCCTACAATTTAAGCACAGCTTCGTGTCAGTCACTCTAGAGTGTCATGTTTATTGGAGGTCAAAGTCTAGCATCAAGTCAATTGGTCAAAAAGGAAGATACAGCAGCTTGTTCTTCCAACAGCTCCTTGGCTGTTGCATCCATCTTCTCCCTTGAAAAGTCAGAAATTGACAAGCCTTGAACAATGGACCACTGGYGGTTGGCATCAATTTTGATTGGGAAAGAATAAACAATCCCTTCTGGGATGCCATAAGAACCATCTGAGACTACACCCATGGAAACCCATCGGTCCTACGAAAATAAAGTACAACTATGTAAAAATAATCCCACACCAGACAAAAACATATATACAGATTTGAGCTTTTTTCTATACTTGTATACAGTTTTTAGTTTTGATGAAGTGYATTAAAGGTGTGCATACCAGATAAGAAGATACTCAATAAAAGTAATATTCTGTACATATATAGTTACTGGTGAAACATCTGAAACTTTTCAAATTTGTAACCTAAAATATGCAATTTAAGCTTACAGCAGTAAAGACAGTTTTACTAAAGGCAAATAGCCAATGGTTAACATTGTATTTCTGCTCATGGGTGGAAAGGTACCCTGCTGGCAGTCTCCTTAAAACAAAAGGAGCCCCTGCAATAGTCCTATTGTATTTTGTCTGAGCCTGCATGGTGCTTGCTAATTAAACGCCTACTAAACGCCAGCTCTAAAAACAATCCTTTCATAAACTGTCAGCCATCTTGCTTATTAACATGAACTCAATTCTGGTTATCCCTACATCTCTTATTGTGTAGTTCCAAAAATTATCCATACCCCCCAAAGATCTTTTTTGGATCCCAAAACCTGTTTAAACCAGTAATAAACTTAAAATTATGCATCTTGTTATCGAGATTCTTGCATAGTGGCATCATAAAAAAGCTACACCACTTCTGTAGTCTTTCTTTCTCTCGCTTGCTTGGGGGAAATTAAGAAAAGACTCTGCCAGCAGGGTAGGTGAAGGAGTGTTTGGGATGGAATGTTTCAGTCTTCCCTTCTTTCCTTCCCTTTCTATAAAATTTCCAGTTACATCCGATAGGATACAGTTTTACTTTATAATAATAAAGTATGAATGTGCAGGGGTCAAATCTTTCCTTACCCTGTGAACAGAGCCTCCTTTTACATCCTCTACGGGGGAGAGAAGGAAAGGAGACTCTACAGAAATCGTGTAGAATGTTATTTGAGCATGCGCAGCGGTTGCTAAGAAACTAACTCGTTTCCAAGCTCACTCGTTTTATAAAATTTATATTACGAGTTAGTTTCTTAGCAACCCCTGCGCATGCTCAAATAACATTCTACACGATTTCTGTAGAGTCTCCTTTCCTTCTCTCCCCCGTAGAGGATGTAAAAGGAGGCTCTGGTCCAAACGTGCTTGCCGCTTTTACTGATTCCAGTCTCATAATAATGTAAAATACCGTGAATTAAATAATTAGTAGTTCATCCTTAAAGAATAAATAGAATATTTAGATAATTAATAATGACTTACTGGAGAAGTACCAAACCACCAGTCTCTCATGTGATCACATATGGCTTTGGCTGCAGACATGGCACTGGACAGCTTGCGTGCACTGATAATGGCAGCTCCACGCTTCTGTACAGTCTGATACATACATATGGCATTAAATCAAACATAGGCTATAAATACCTAACAAATGACTGAACTAAAATTTTTAAAAAAACAATATCTRTCAGAAGATTTTTGACTGAATCTAATTAATCCTGTAAATTTATTAGAACAATTTCACATAAGCGTTTTTAACATGCTAATCAGTATTGTCGAGTATTCAACAAATTAAATTATTACCTTAGATAAGTTGTCACCTCGCTAACCAAGGCATTCGCATGGTGGCAGTTCACTTTTAGATAAATAAAAAATGATAGAAAATGAAAAATTTTTATAAGAAAAGAACAAATTTTCAAAAGAAAAATGCCATCTTTGAAAACCTCCCTGTTTAATCCATTTGTATAATAATTAGTGATGGTTTAACAATTCAAGGGTTATTTAATTTAAAGAGATTGGTCCGTATTTACAACGACTGTTTTAAATTCTCTCGAAAAGTCTAACACGATTTCAACAGAATGGGTATCATTTACAATGATTRCTTTACTATTATTAAAGAACACTGATTATAGCTATCCCAGCTGTAAAATATTGCTCAAGAATTGATTTTATGTCGGTGCATGTCGATATGATAAATCAATATGAATATAAATCAATATCAATATGATAAATAAAAACCTTTGAACCTTTAGCTGTTTACTAATTGTAGTACATATACACCTTCAGCGAAATAAAAACAATATAACTCGTTCAAGTACACAAACGTTTTTATRTRAAATTAAAAACTTAAACTCATGGTTGCTTTTTTCAATGAGAATCAGACCCCAGTCAATGAGGCGTGAAGCTGCTAGTGTGCGCTGGCATCAGTTATCGAGGCTGACAGCTAATTTGCATGTTAAATACTCAACAAAACATATTTGCATGTTAAAACTGCTTATGTGACATCGTTCTATTAATATCTTCTAAAATCTTTAATAATTCAGTCTAACATCTCAAGATATTGTTGATCATATTTTACTTCAGATCTTTGATTGATGGCAGTGATGGTAGTCAAAATGCTAGTCAACAAACAAGACATTAAGCTACATGGAGTGCTGAAGATGTCATACAACAACAACAGAAGTGAACCAATCCTGGCAAGCATGGTATGGTTCACAGTCAGGTTACTTTAATGTAACTTTTTTTCATGTGCAATTGATTTTAATCCATTCCTTAAACTTTTCACAGTCTTAATGACTTTTTCCATTGACAGAGATGACAATGTATATCCAGATAACCCTGTTATAAATATGATAACTATGATAACTGTCTTACAAATATTGAATAATAATTAGGGCAAGGCTAGGAATACAGTGTAATAGTACTGATGATGTTCAGTCACTGTCTTAAAGTGCTTATAAGCCTTTGCACAATATTTTCAGAATTGATTCATTAGATAGTGGATAGTTGATTGTGAAAATATTTCGTCATTTGAATGTTGAGTCTTTGAGATACGAAGGTTTTTATTCCCAATATGTTAATGACTATGATGTAACATAAGGGATCATTCAATATGCAACGCTGCACTCATTCTGGAATACAGTATTTTAAAAGCATCACCCTTTTACTCATGACTCACGTAAAGGTTCTTAAAAATTTGTTCTCAAAAAATGTCCAGAGTTCAATATTAAAAGTTGCCACAAACTAACTCAAATCCCTTATGTTACGTCATAGTCATTAACATATTGGAAATATAAACCTTCGTATCTCGAAGACCCGACATTCAAATGACGAATTATTTTCCAATCAACTATTCACTATCTAAAGAATCAATTCTGAAAATATTGTGCAAAGGCTTATAAGCACTTTAATGAGTTGATAACTTTTAGGAAGATAAAGCAAATCCATGGATGAGATGTGAGTAAATCATTCATTATCGCTAGACTGGCACACATGACTTGAATCAAAGGCTACATTGCTCTAGAAAGCTTTTATTTTGATTATTTTTTGGCAGGAAAACATGTAGTCTAAATAATAAACATGGTAGCATTGTGAGCTGAAATAAACGTTATTTTTCTCAAAATTTCCAAAAGTGAAAAAATTATGAATATATAATAAATCATGCATATCCTTRTCAGTAATGTTTAGAAATGGTATGGTTTTTGTATTTTCTAGCTTAGCTGTTTCTACATGTACGTTATTATCATTAATTTATTACTACTATACTATGTCTATTCTTTGCGTACATATTTACAGTGTTCCACTTACCCATGGAGAAAAAATATCGCTCTAGGAATCTCACGAGTTACCCTACATTTCATATTCCGGCTGCGTTATCAGCATGGTTGGTCCTTGTGGTGTAGTGGTTAACACATCGGACTGGAATACTGAAGATGTGGGTTCGATTCCCACCAAGGGCATTTGATATTTTTCTCTTATTCTCTCTATTTCATTACTCACACCAAATGCATAATTTATTACTACTATACTGTTTCTATGTTATTGGTGGACAACACTTATGACCAAATAAATAAATATATACTTGCTACTTATCTATGATAAATAGATGAATAGTTAAATAGAACCAACCTTGATGAAATCTCCATTTAGATAGTCATCATCTTTGACTGCTTCACGGATGGATACCTSAGAGCCATTCATAGTAACAGTCCCATGGTTCACATCAGGATACTGAGTGGATGAATGGTTTCCCCAGATAATGGCATTGTTTACTTGGTCTATTTTAATTCCAAGTCGAGCAGCAACCTGGTCAAAAACAAGTGAATCATAAGTCGTTAAGGTGTCTGTGAGTGGTTGATATGGTATCTGTACTGTATGCACTCATTTAAAAGCTGCCCCCAATTAAATACCACCCTCAAATAAGCTCCTCACCTAAGACTAAAATTATTAATAAGCACCACCCCAGAATAATTGCCGCTTTTAATAAACGGCGCCCTGAATTAAGGTCACATGTGAAACCTAAAAAATGTACAGCACTTAACATGGTAAGTGGTTGGTCAGATGTCAGTAGGTGGTTAGGCAGGTGTCAGTGAGTAGTTGGGTAGGTGTTAGCGAGTGGTTGGTGTCAGTGAATACTGAGGTTTTGGAGTGTGGATGATGTCAGTAAGTGGTAGGTGCCTGTGAGTGTTTGGGAAGGTGTTAGTCAGTGTTGGGTGTCAGTGAGTGTTAGGTGTCAGTGAGTGGTGGGTGTCAGTGAGTTGTGGGTGTCAGTGAGTGGTAGGT